ACATTAGCAAATAGCCTCTCCACATTAGCAAATAGCCTCTCCACATTGGCAAATAGCCTCTCCACATTAGCAAATAGCCTCTCCACATTAGCAAATAGCCTTTCCATAATAGCAAATAGCCTCTCCACATTAGCAAATAGCTTCCCCACATTAGCAAATAGCTTCCCCAGATTAGCAAATAGCTTCTAGGCCTGACAGACAAACAGGCCAACACAGTCCCCAATATAAAATGGAAAAATTCGAGGACCCGGGGCGTCTCAGAGTGGATCTTGTCAATCTGCTTCGAACTGTCGAGCGGAAACTCGAATCAAAACGCCGAAAATCCAGGGCCCCGGAATGTCTCGGAATGTCTCGATCTGTTTCGAATTTCGAGCAGAAACTCGAGTCAAAACGCCTAAAATCCAGGGCCCCGGAACGTCTCGGAATGTCTCGGGTTTCCGACCGTTCCGAGACGTTTTTTGGCTTTATTTGCTTATTTATTTAAAAAGCGAGACGAAAAAACGAAAACAGATCGAGACATTCCGAGACATTCCGGGGCCCTGGATGGCGTTTTGACTCGAGTTTCCGCTCGACAGTTCGAAGCGGATTGAGGTCCACTCTGAGACGCCCCGGGTCCTCGTGTTTTAGGAAAAAACACCGCGCGTTTTTCTTCTCTCCTCGCTCACGATCTGGGCGGCACCACCGCCTGCTGCAGGGTCGTCTGCGGCCCAGCCGCATCGGACGTCTCCTCTGTTGCCGGCGCAGCAAACGTTGAGCTGGCGAGCCTGCGAGCCCTGCGGTCGTGCCGCTCCCGCGCCGCGCCGGACTGGGAAGCCGCTCTCGAGGAGCTGGCGGCAGCGCAGGCTGTGCACCAGCAGGCCTTCCACGCAGCATACCCCGCCAGCGCGCGACCAAAGCACCACTATAGGCTACACCACCCAGAGCAACTCCGGAACTTTGGCCACTACGTCGACATGTTCCCGGTGGAGGCCTGCCATCAGCGGTATAAGGGGTCGACTGCCGACCACTATATACGCACATCTGGTGAACCGGGCGGGGGGGCGCGCTGTCCACAGGCGTGCTGTGGCGATACCTACAGGATGCTCTGCTGGGGGCAGAGGGGCCGCCCGTCGATCCCGACAACATGTCCTGGCGGCTGGAGCCGCCGCTACTGCCGGAGGGGTCGGAACAGCGCACGGATATCCTCGCGTGCTGCGGCGTGACTCGCGGCGCGTCCTCACTCCTCGCGGCTGGGCCGCGGATACTGCAAGCGGGTGACCACCTGCGCGTCGGTGACGCGGTATATGTGCTGGAGGGTTTCTGCCACGACTTCAACACCGCCAAGATTTGGGCGGTTGCGGCGCAGATAAGGATATTTTCTTTAAAGTAGGTGTGCACTTTTTGAAAGTAGGTGTTGGGGTATGAGATTGCGCCAGCTCCAGTTACCAAGGGCTAGGCACATTCAATTCATAGTCAGGGCCCATTGCTGGCTGAGCCAGGAACAATTGACTGTTCTTTTTTGCGCGATAGGATGGCCTGAGCTAATATTATATATAGTTCCAATTATCTTGTACATAAAAAAATATATATTTATTTATTTATCCACACAGTTTTGAAAATAATATCTATGATGGTTTGAAGATGTTTGTTTCCAGCTTTGAAACACTGCGTTTACTCATGCAACCCACAGTGAAATTGGTTATTATTAAAGCGCAGTCTGCGCTGAGCGCGCATCGCGCTGATCAAATACTCCATCATATTGTTTGTCATTTCACTGTGGGCGGGTAGTCAGCGTTTATGGTGGCGTTTGTCAAGTGGAGTGCTCACGCGCACAGGCGGCAGTAAAGTGATGCAGATTGTAAACCGTTTTCTCACTGGACGCTGCTCATCTCTAGTCGTGTCAAAACCAGATTCAGACTCAATGCTCGCATTGAATCTTCAGACTGCGAAGTCTTGTTCGCAAGACTTGAGAATTCCTCCTCATGAAGTGCCCCGGGCTCGGCAAATTGAAAGCAACAGTGCTTCACCAAAATAACTGTTGGGAAAACCTATGCGTGACTGACTTTCTTTAAACAGCGCCAAACCCACCCTACGTGGAAAACACCAAAAGCGTGTTCATGGTCAGGTCCTGACCTTGCAGCACTGACCGGCAGGAAGCACCAACTGCTTCATGCAATGGAGCATGACTTTCACTGGCTGCAACCCTTTCACCGTCCATTTCACGTGCCAAACCAGGCTCATGGAGTGCATGCCCTGAAAGGTCGAAGAAGGCTCACGGGCTGCAATGTTGGAGGCACTGACCGGATCATCCTTTCCAGTGCCAGAGCCTTGGTCAGCATCATTCTTTCCAGCGGCAGCAGGCACGAAAGCGACTTTGTGGGTGACCCGAAAGTCATAGACGCCAAGCTTGTCTGGAATCAAAGTGGCCTTGTGGTAGCAAACTTCCGCAGAGGGTTTAGTTTCCCTTTGCTTCGCCAAGACCTCGGAC